TCAGTGATTGATTAAAAGCAAGTATGTAAGGGTAAAGCCAGCACTAAATCGGGCAAGTGCTGGTGCTGTGCCTCAGTAAGCACCAACTGAAAACCTAAACACTTCACGTGTTTCCTCAGCCATAGGTGTAAAACGAACTTTCTCTCATCAAACAGAAATTGTTACAGCTTAATAAATATGCAGATAGCACCAGTAGCAGCTAGCACTTTTTGTTAACAGAAAAAAGAGATTCAGGAAATGCTTAACGCAGATACGCAATACAGACATGGTAACCTTGGTCATTATGGACATCTTTGTGTACCTTAACACTCATAAGTAAAATAGCTCTTGAGAATTACCTCATCATATTTCTTATTTTGCTATTCCTTCAACACCTTTGCACTCAAGATCAGAAGGGAGATAGTGAGATTTAGACACGCTTACAAGCCAACATTGGATTAGAATAGAAATATCCGGTGTTTTAAAAATCAGATTGTATACAGTTAAAATTTAAACTACAGCCAATATACTAAGTCATTTATTGCTTACAACTTATAAATTATTAACTATAACACAGACATACAATTTACTCAGTGTATGAAAGCTTTCAATTAGCATTTTTAATTTATGTATGATATACTTAAGAAGCTAGCCAGGTAAAATCCCTGCTCAAATAGAGTTTGTAAGTGATAATCAAAATCAATTCCATTGAAATTTTGGTTATCGGACAGTTTGCAGCCAGACTGCAAAGAACCACTGAGTCAGAGGCACCAAGAAAAACACCATCTACTCAAAAATAGTTGACGTTAATTTGGATACGAGAAGCAGGTAATAGCACATTAACAAAATCAGTCTGAAAGCCAATGAAAGACAGTGGCTGCATTGGTAGTAAAATGAGTAATTTTGTCTACAGAGAATCTGTCATAATTTTAGGAAAGAAGGACCAACGTAGAAATGTTCTCACACAGTCACACTACATAGTAAAGGTTGGCTTCTGAAGCTACTGCTTGTGCAGAGATTTGCTTCTCTGTTGAACTTAAAAGATCAGCCACCTTGGCAGTCAGCACTCCACAGTTATAACTGAATTATTATAGCTGAAATATTGCCTTTGTTTACATTTTTATGTACACATGCACATATGTAGGCATGCATATATATGAACGTATCTCCAGGCACTGATCTGCCATACAAAAAAAAGTATATACATGAGGCTATGGCTCATGTATCTGTAAGTTTCTAAAGATATCCTAAAATGCTTTTGGAAAAGGAAACAGATAACCCTGCCTCAGGGAACAGTAAAGCACATTTGGAAGACACAGCTATCAGTATGAGCATCATAAAGCAGCTGCATCACAACAACTGTGGACACTGAGGATGAGTGCTCTATGGTAATTCTAGGATTCTATGTTCTTATACATATGTTCTTAACCTGAGCCCTCTCAAAAGTCCCAGTCTGCTTTTAGTAGGCTTTTTGAAACTTTAAGGTTTTACTAGTCTCTTCTTCATTGTCTGAAGAATTTATTATCTTCATGATGATAGTGAACTTGAGTTCTTAAGGCTTCTTTTGTGACAGTGAGCCGTATCTTTTCTCCTACAGTGGAAATGCAAACGTTTCCTCTAGAGAATTCTTGATTAAAGCTAGTACGTACATCACAATTTCCCAAAAGGATGACATACTAACAAGATCTTGTATGAATGCACAGAAAAAGACTATTTAGAAAAACATTAAGTTCTTAATAGTATAGAAAAGTTTTACAAAAAAGTGAGGCAGAACAAATTCCAGTCTTACAAATCTGACAAAGTATTAGAGGAAATAAAGTTACAGTGCAAACAGCTGAAATTTGCAGTGTTTTAAGAATATGTCACATCAAAGAAGGAAATTTTAGCAAATTTGTAATCCTCATAGAAACCAAAGAAAGCTGGGAGACAAAGTACATAGTCTGACGTGGGTGCTGATGATAAGGGAGCTTAACCAGAACAAAGGGAAAGCCAGTGGAGCCATATCTTTAAATAATTTCCATGATTTATTACTTACCGTATCCCATATCTGAAGCTTTATCTGTTTTCCATCAATAGTTATCATTCGAGCCCCAAATTCTACACCTGGATAGATTTTACAAAAGATTAGATTATTAGCATGTATCAGAAAGAAGAATTTCAAGTACTATGAAAGCAAGAATATACGTCTAAGTTAACTCAACATCAGTTTTGTAGGAAATAATCTCTTTCACAATCTGCTTTTAGTTAATTTTCCAGCTGGAAAATTGGCTGGTTTTCTTCCAGGAAGAAGAACATGTCTATTTGAATGCAAACAGGAAATTGAAGAGTCACAGTTATTATAACACTCTACCAATGAAAGATTGCTGAAACCAGTTTAGAAGAAATTAAAGCTACAATTCTTTATCAATAAAACATTCTATTAAGTGACAAGAAGATAAATGTTATTATTGTATTAATTAAAACTCATCCGCCTTTATGAAAAAAGCGCTTCCAAAATTGTAGCTAAAGATCCAATTTAATAAACAAGGCAAAAAGGTAATGTACAAAAAGTTAATAAACAAAAGAAATTTATTCAGTAGAAAAATTCAGCCTTTTGTACTGTCATTTAAAGCAATTTTAAGATCATTAACAGTAAATTAAGCATAAATTGAGGCTATTACTACAGTAGTTAAAACCTGACAAATGCCTAGAGATATAGTACACATTTAAAGGCTATCAAATTTCCATTAATCTGTGCTTCATATATGCATTATTTCAGAAAAAAATAAGGATCTGGTAGCTTAAGTTTTGTATAAAATTGGTTACTGTCTAGATTTGGACTGAAGTCTCCCAGTTAAGCAGCCCTGACTTGAAGTATTCCAAATGTCTCTTCAAAAGCTTGTTTAAAATATTGGGGGGGGGGCAGCGTTGCTTTACTCATAATGTCTTCGGGGATGGGAGCAGGGAGGAAGCACCATCCCACACACACCCCCTCGACACAGGAGCCAAATAAAAACCCTGGGCCAAAGAACACTGTGCTCTCTTTAACGTTCCAAATAACTTGCAGTAACTCTGTGCAAACAAGTCAGAAGAATGGATGGGGAAGAGCAGCAAGGAAGAGGCAGGTGGAGGCCAATGCTCTCTCTGAAGCTGACAGAACATCCAGGGGAAGGTCCTTGGGCCACTACAAGTGCCAACACGGCAGGTATTAATTAATTGATCTCATACTGCAGATATAGAGCTGCTGATTTAAATCCAGCAATAATCCAAAGTGTTTCGTTCCTACACACAACCCCATAGAAAACTTAACAGGATGTTTATCTTGTTCCTTTAAAATACCTGTTGATAAATTCTGAATTTGAAACAACACATTTTGATGGTAAATTTGTTCTCTTAAAGAAGGAACAGAAGCTGTTTGGTTTTCAGTAAGGGCATGTCCTAAGGGCAACGGGCAAAACCAAAAGAATATTTACTGGTTCCTACACACAACCCCATAGAAAACTTAACAGGATGTTTATCTTGTTCCTTTAAAATACCTGTTGATAAATTCTGAATTTGAAACAACACATTTTGATGGTAAGTTTGTTCTCTTAAAGAAGGAACAGAAGCTGCTCGGTTTACAGTAAGGACACATCCTAAGGGCAATGGGCAAAACCAAAAGAACATTTAAAGTGCTTTTGTCACCCATATCTACCTACAAACACTGTGGGGTTGGTTTTCTTTTTTTTTTTCCTCAGTTGGGTTTTTGTATGCGTGTTTGGGTTTTGTTGTTGCTGGGTTTGGGGTTTTTTTTGTGGGGTGGGGGTTTGAGTTGTTTTTTTTTTTTTTCTCTGCAGCTGTATCATGCATATTTTTTTTTTTTTTTCCCCTGGAGCTACATCATGCCTCTGCTCCTAAACTTCACCTAGCTATATGCCAGGCAAAGAACTGGCACTGCAAATACCCTGCTGAGGTGAAGCTATCAGTTTGCTGATGTGACAGGGCTGCCAAAGACATATATACAAGGCATCATATATTTGGCAGGCCTAAAGAAGAAGAGATGACAATAACTCATGCCTCCCTACAGAACGCAGGCTCTTTATTCAGCCAGCCTACCTGGCTGCCAAGACCCCAGAAATATTTGAAAACTGATGTCAGCCTAAGAATTTGAATCGTATTAGACAGCCACACACAAAGTGTGGGAGGATTGTCAAGAGAGAAAGGGAAACCATAACCAAACCTCCTGATACATTCTGTTACATGAAGAATATTTGTTTATATTTCAAGCATTTATTTCTGTACTCCCAGACCCAGGAAGCCTACCTGTTCCAGGGCACAAACTAAAAATAAGAGACTAGGAATACACTTTGTGTGAGACTTATATAAATTCCCTGAAATAGCATCAAGAAGAAGTTCAAAAGTACTGCAACCTCACCAGAGGCTAGCGTCTGCTAAGGTTAACATTGAAATTGATCTGAACGCTAAGCCTGCCTACAGGGGAATTAATTCCTACACTATTCCTCATATTTTGTGTGGAAAGATAAAGAAAAGTTTGTATCATTTACTGTAATTAGATCAGAGGCGATGTCCATATCCAACTGAGGAGACAGGAAAAAAAAAACTGTTGCTTCCAAACAGTAAATACCTTCACACTTCAAATCCTTCTCTATCCAGAAGTTAGTCTTCCCAAATAATAAATTTGTTTATTTATCTTTAAGGTTAACTTTGCTGTAGTTTACTTGTAACTTGTCTTCAAGGTTCTGTGGCTAGGCTAATATTCTGTTCTCTAGAGAACAATCTGCCATTTGCATCACTATCAATGCATTTCAAGCTTGGCCAATTCTGCTTCCACCCCCAGTTTTTAGCTTTTCTGAAGAGACAGTTGAAATACTACAGTTATGAATTTTTTTAAATGTTTCAGATTGTACCTTCCCAATAAGAAAAATGGCCTCCACTTGGCCTTATTAGCTAAGAAATTAACCAGCTAAAGATTCACTGCTACCTTAATACAACACAAATCTTACATTACCACAGCACAAACTCATAGAGGCACGTGAGGTACCTGAGCTGCTTAACCATCAGCACTGTGGGGGACAAGAGAGACCTACCAATAGTGAGATCGTGGACCGGTTGAAACCGCTTGTCTGTGAACTGTAGCAATAAACATGATTTCCCAACACCTAAAAAAAAAAGAAAAGTTTTAAGCAAATTAAAAGAGATCTGTTAAGAACCAATAGAAATTAATCTAAGTGAATGGTATATATTGTTTAAAATTCAGTACTAGAACTTGGGATACTAGATTTCACCTACTGTGAAGTGTATGCAATTTTTCATAACATAACAGCTTTTTACGTTCCAGAAACACTAGAGTCAAATCAGCAATTTTCAAAAGTTGAACAAAAATCAATTCTTCTTTTGAAAAAGTAGTTCTGCCTTTAAAATTAAGCAGAAAAAAGTTTCCTAGCAGACCTTCAAAGTATCATTTTCACATCCTCTCTCCACAGTAACTACAGGTCTTGCTGCTCCTCACAACCCTGTCTGCTTCCCCTTCAGTACTTTCAGCTTTCTTCCAAGCTAACTAGATCCTCAACAGCACCTCGCTCCCACCTATCTCCTAATTTATCAGCTGAGGTAACAGCAGTACATATATGGCTCTTACAACCATTATTTGTTACTGCCCACTGGTTCCCAATAGGCCAAACAGTAGCCCAAGCAGAACTGGCCACAGCTGAGTTCACATTACAGCCAGACAACACAAACATGGCACCCCCCAGATATCCTAATTTCAGACCCAAATGGGTTAACTACTTCAAATTATGTGGACATTGGTCAGCAAAAGGGCAATTTCTTCTGTTGGTGAAAGCACAGAAAAGCAAGAGTTAATAGGAGCCAATAGAAATGCTCAAACCACCCAGGTTTTTAAGCATAGTACACTTTACCATTAATTTTTCCTCATTCTTTTACTTTGAGGGGTCATTCTTCCCATTCTACTCAACCAAATTTCCCATTTTCAGCCCTTTAAAACTCAGCTGTCATACATTTGGTTTACATACATTTAAACTCTGAACTATATCACATCCAATACTGTAGCATCCAAGTTCCTGCTGTACTTTGCTTTATCTGTCCAGTACGATAAGACTATTTTAGCCACATACTAGAGGTCAGGAACAGCTGATCAGGAGTGACATATCTGGTAATAAAAGAACAGCAAAGGGATAAAGAAAAGAACAGCCCTGCGAGATACAAGATATGCATACCTGAGGTCTGCATATAGTGACATTGATCTTCCTACTCCTAAATTCAGCGTTCTTAAAGTTTTTTAGTACTGTTTCATGAGGAAAGCAAGCCTATACACTCACAATCACTGCCCACCCGTCATTTTGGTCTTAAAAGCTAACTGGCCTTTTTCAATCACATCGAACAGAAACAGGAGATTTGACACTCATTTTGTGACAAAATGAGTCACAAACAGACTGATGACACTCTGAGACATCCCAAGCAACGCAGCAATTCCAGCAGCCTAAGCCAGCTGTTGGTGTTGCTGTCCCTACTCTCTTCCCTACAGCACGTTCGTGCCCCTTTCTCCATATGGCTTGAGACTCCCCTAAGCCATTTCAGCTGTCTGCTGGGTTAGCACACTAACCTGACAAGAAGAGTGACAAAGCAAACAGAAATGGCTTCATACGAGGTCGGACAAGCACGAGAGTTAGTTCAAATGAGGGAAGAGAAATGCAGCCACCAGCTGATCAACAACTTAGAGTGGCAGGGAACTACAGCCCAAGGCAAAGTTTGCAGCATCAGCCTTAACAGATCTCTTTTCTGTAGCTCTCTGGCTTATCACAGCAAGCTGTCAGAACACAAGCAGCTTGGAAGCAGCTATAGGATTTCTTCACCGAAATTAGTGGATGTAAGAGAAGTGGATGAGGAATGGGGGAAAGTGCTGGAAGTAAGAAAGAAACAGGGAGAAGAATAGGCAGAACATTGGAGCTGTAGGGACGGAGAACACAAATCTCTAAGGAACCTTAAAATATTAATAGTTGTTCTCACAGAACACTGTTTACATATACAGATAACTTTTATACCACAAATGAAATCCAGCTGCCTCATCACAGAACATAAATACCATCCTGTTCACAAAAAACAACCTATAAATAAAACCAGAAATAGAATGTAGAATAGCTTTTACCATTAACCTCACAAAGTGATTTCAGTGTCGTTGGATAAACCACAACCTCAAAACTATCCAATATTCCTGCACAAACCTTGCAAACATTAGAAAAATATTTGAAAAATCTAATCAACAACATGACACGTGTCCCATCACCAGTTCTCAAGTGACAATCTGATATTTCTTGTTTGTGTAAGGCTTGTTGCTTCAGGAGAACATCAGAACACTGGCGTCAGCACAGCGAAGATGACAGACAAGCACAGCCCCTTTGATGCAAGCGCTGTCTCAAGCTGGCACAAGATGACTTCACCTCTCATTACTTCCATGTAGCAAGGCTTTTGGGAGCAGACTGATGGGTTCACACATAAAACCAGAGAAAATAACCAGTTTCTGCTTAATGCCATTCCTGCTACTTCAGCAAAAAAAAACATTTGGAAGTTCCAAAGTTTTATACAGCTGTTGACCGAAAAAGAGGTTCAAAAAACTTGCAAACAAAGTTGTAGTGCCTCTTGAATTTAAGTTAGAATCCGTTTCAGATAGTACTTATAACTACTTTACTGCCTACATCTAATAGTAATATTTTATTTTAATGTTATAGTTTTAAGACAGTGTGAATTTGTAATAGGAAAGTTATTACTTCCATGTAGCAAGGCTTTTGGGAGCAGACTGATGGGTTCACACATAAAACCAGAGAAAATAACCAGTTTCTGCTTAATGCCATTCCTGCTACTTCAGCAAAAAAAAAACTGGAAGTTCCAAAGTTTTATATGGCTGTTGACTGAAAAAGAGGTTCAAAAAACTTGCAAACAAAGCTGTAGTGCCTCTTGAATTTAGGTTAGAATCCGTTTCAGATAGTACTTATAACTATTTTACTGCCTACATCTAATAGTAATATTTTATTTTAATGTTATAGTTTTAAGACATTGCGAGTTTGTAATAGGAAAGTTATGAGAATAGCTTGTGGCCTGTTCACTCACTGAGCCCGAGCAGACTGCGCTGTCACAGACAGGCAGGTGCCTCTATCAGGCACCAGAGCTGTACCTGAACTCCATTTTACCACCTTGTGACATACACAGGTGCTACAAAGACCAATTAACAGTTGCATGGCAGCTAATTTCATAGTATACAAATGGTTTAAAGTAACTTCACTGGTTAACTCTTAAAAGCAAAATGGCTTTTTACCAGTTACTCACGTAGCACTGCAAATCTTATACCTGAAAAGACACAGACGCTCCTGGAAAAGTAGTTGAGCGTGGCTTAGGACAGTCAATTGTAGAACACAAAAGGGACAGATTCAGTTATTTATTAACTCATTCTCCATTTTACTGCCACAATTACTTTAATACAGCTTCAGATAAACCACCCCCAGCAAAAAAAAATCTTAGTCTCTTAAAACAAGAAACGAGCAGAGCTTGGATACGCTTCACCAACAAGCACAGTAAACAAAAGCTCTCGCTTAGGAACAAATTAAAAGAGTGGATTATGTGCTCAGAGGGAGCAGTGTGTTTCTCTGCTAGTGCCTGTTCTAGGATCCCTTCATCACTTCTCAGTACCCAGTGATGGGGAGTGGAATTTGTTCTACAACAGTTTTACCCTCTGGCTCTGAACTCCAGACTACCAGCCTGAGTCTGTTCTCCAAATTCCTCTGCCCTCCCTTATAGCTTCCTCTTTATCTGGGTGCTGCTCTGCCATCCATTTCCCTAGGGAAGTGTTTGGCCCAGCCACACTCCAACACCTCCCTTCCTCAGATCAACTCTAGTGTTCATTTCAGTGCTCAGCAACCCAGAACACCCCAGTGGCAAAGCCAACCTCTCCCTTCTCACTCCTGAGGTTACTGAGGCACTGAGCTAAACCCAGAAATGGATCCAGCATAAAACTACAGTCACCCAAATCACTACTGTGTGCACGAGATTAGAGCTACAAAATATATAGCAAAGGGACAGGTTGTTCTTCTCAGTAGCAGGCCGCACTCATGGCAATTAAACAAAGCAGCTCTGGAGCCACAGTGCAGCTGACACAGCCAAGCCACGTACACAGCTTTTGCTAAGAAAGCTGACTTGCCTCCTTCTCCCCTTCCAGCTCCTGTGGCTCCTTCTGTGTATATGGCAATGAAAGTTCACTTGTGCTGCAAAGTCAGAGATGCACCACTGTCAACACAAGGAAAACTTCCAAGCTTTTCTTACCACTAGACAACACTCTTCTACGGTCAAGATTACAGCTAAAAGAAAAGGATTCACAACAACCAATCTAACCAACTGCTGCAGTCCTGTTCCTTCCACTGAAATACATTTGAGTGTCTTAGAAAGCTGATCTGACTCAAAACTAAAAATGCTTCAGAAAAAGGTGGGAGAGGGGACTAAGACCACGTCCTTACCTGTCCACCTAACCACCACTTATAGCTCAAGGAAGGAGACAGAGTTAAAAAACTGCAGTAGTAGTCATCCCAACCTTAGGTATCAAAACTGAATCCTGATGGCAAATCTCCTTCTCAATCTGCTAGCTGCCTCTGATGGGTAGACTCACTCCTTCCCACACACTTCCACCTACTTACTCAAAATGGCTCTTAGGCTTTTCTGACCATTCCTGCTATTTGTTTGGTTTTGCTTTTTAAAATGATCTTTGCGAGCTGAACTGGGTCTCTGAAGGATCAGACAAGCGCTGACACTAACAGCTAAGCAGCAGAGGTTCATAGCTGAGAGAAGGAGTGGTGACCAGGCCCACCCTTTTTGGCAGCAGATAAACATTGGCTTAATTCAGCCATCTCACAGAGCTGTATTTTTCTTGTTCTTGCTTTATAAGACAGGGTGATCAATTGGCTCACCACCCACAGAGATGAAGACCTACTCACCCTTTGATATCTTGCTCTCACTGATCCTCCTAGGTCCAGTTTCCTCCCTTGAAAGTACTCCAGACCTTGGTAAGCACTTCCCCAGGCCAACTCAGCTGATTCAACCACCAAGTAGTAAATTAATCCAAAAAAGTAGGTAGTTTTCTACTGTGTTAGTAGATTGA